AAGAATGAGAGAGAGGGAGAGAGAATCCCAAGCAGACTCCACACCACCAGCATGGAGCCTGATGCCGGGCTCAAACTCACAAACCATGAGATCATGACCTGAGCTGAAGTCGAGAGTGGGTCGCTTAAGTGACTGAGCCACCCAGGAATGTGACTTTCAACCCGAGTCAGTGACTAGGAGAAGACAACGTTGTTCTCAAACAGATCTGGGTTGCTGGCGAAGGGAATGTTCAGGTACCTACTCTTACTGCTGAGAATTGAGGTACCTGGCCTCCCAAATCAACCCCGCAAGGGCACCCCAAAAGGCCCGAGCCCATATTATCTGGACTTCACCTTTCTGGTGTGATCTTAGGTGGAGAGGAGAGGTGCTTTCTCACCCCGTTGTGAAACCAGCCCCCAGTGTTCCAATGTGCATATTCTTTGGATAGTTCTTAGCAGGAGTCTCAGTGCTCATTTGATTGTTTAGTTCACACAATTCCAGCGCTGGAGGTGCCTTTGCTGCTCCCTTCTTTTCTCTGCAATTTGCTCTACGTAGAATTTTGCTTCTCTCCCAGGGAGGGAGAAGACTGGCAGAGAGTTCGGAGTGCCTTCCAGAAGAAACTGATGAAACCAGTGGAAATTATGAAGCTGGACAACAAAATCAATGAGGTCTGCAGGCTGGGGGCAGCTTCCCTGGGCCTCCTGGGGAGGGAGAGATGTCTACGGAACTTTAAGTCATAGCTACAAAGTACAGGCGGTTTGGATGGTTCAGGGGTCTCCCTTTACTCCTTGCTGTCTACTTCCTTCTCCCCCAAAACCTTATTCCTCCTTCCTTCCCTCTTGTGCAAAGTAACATCTCAGTGAGAGAACGATGACAAGCCGAGACTCTGGTATTCCGGTCTTGGATTTGAACCTCAGCCCTCCACCCTCTGGCCCTGTAAACCGACTGTACCCTTAACTTCCCTAAGCTTCACTCTCCCGCTCTATAAACTGGGCCTCGCAGGATTAAATGAGATAATGCTTATGAAATTCCTAGGTCGTGCCATTTAAGCTGGGTTTTGCAGGATGAGTAGGAGTCTTCAAGCCAGAGCAAGTGTAGAAAGGCGTTCAGGCAGAAAGAATAGCCTGCTGAAAATAGTCAGATGACATGATGTGTTCAGGAAATGGTACGTTCAGTGCAGAAGAGGTGAGGCTGTCTGTGCAATGATGCTGGACAGAGGGCAGCTCTTAACAATGTTTTTGTACCATGATAAGGCATTTAGACATTGTCCTTTAGTTAACAAGGGCCAAAGAGGGAGGGATTTAAGCATACAGTAATCTCTTTACTCCTGTTCACTTTGGGTGTTTATTTGGAACTGAACTTGGACCCAGAAAGGATCATATAGGTGCAAGAGTGCCAACCCAGGAGGTTTCAGGGACCAGGTAGTGAATATAAATGTATAAGGAAGGCCCAGCAGGGATTTTTGCAAACAGGATAGGGCATGCCCTTTCTAGGAGCGACAGCTGCCCCATTCCAGCAAATGACTGTCACATGGGGAGGCGGACCTAGTGGCTCCAGATTTTATCATTATTATCATTTTTTGGTTAAGTGGTGAAAATTCCATATGTTGATGAGAAATTTCTGGATTTTGGGGGGGAAACAAATGCAAAGTACTTTTTAGTGCACTAAGTGGACAAATTCACAATGCCCGTGGGTGGGCTTTGTACTCACACATACCTTGTTCCAGGCCCCAGCATGGCCACTTTGCAGCCACGTGTCCAAGGGCCAGTGCCTTAGCCTCACTCGAAGCCCATTCTCTTGTCTGTTTCTGCGGGAAACGGAAGGAAGATCGTATTTCCTACCTCACAGAGTTGTGGGGATCCGCTAACGTAGCACGCTTCAAGCACTGTTTGGTACTATACAAGCCTTGTAAAATGTGAGGCTTTAGCCATCAAAAACCCTGATTTTGGGGGGTGCCTGGGTGGCTCAGTCTGTTAAGTGTCCAGCTTGGGCTCAGGTCATGATCTCACGGTTTGGGAGTGCAAGCCCCACATGGAGCTCTCTGCTGTCAGTGCAGAGCCTGCTTTGGATCCTCTGTTCCCCTCTCTCTCTCTCTCTCTCTCTCTCTGCCCGTCTCCTTCTTGTTCTCTCTCTCTCTCTTTCTCAGAAATGAATAAATAAACACTTAAAAAAAAAATCCTGATTTTGGCCACTGGCATCTAGAGCTCTTACATAACATGTCCCAGGTCACAGAGCTATTTAGCAAAGGAGCTGTGTCTAGAATTTGCAGATTTTTCTGGTCCCAAGTTCAAAATGCTTAACATGACGCCAGCTAGTAAGGAGATATTTGCTAGCCCAGGTATGGAGGCAGCAAACCTCATAGGGCTTGGGGTGTTGTGACAACTTGGTTGAATCTGATTAGAAGAAATGTTTTCCTTTTCTTAAATTTAGATCAAGAGCTGAAACCTAAGATTTTGGGTGGTTGCGGGAAAAGCTGAGAAAATAACCCAGGACGAGGTTGTTAGGGCAGGAGGTGAGCCCCCGCAGGAGAATATGCAGTTAGTGTTGCTTCATAATGAATAACGTTATAAGCAGTGAATATACAAGGTAGCAAACCCCGAAGTCAGCGTACTGAGCTTTTAACCTTTTGTTTTCCTTTAATGACTGAAATGTGTCTTTTGTGGTTTCTTTCCTTTAAGGTCTTGGCTGATTTTATGGGTAGAATAGATGAGCTCTGTGATGAGAGAGGCCGCATTGAAGGCTTATACAGCGAACTGAACAAATGGTCATTTGAAAGTAAGTTTGTCAAGGTACCTGGGTGGCCCAGGCGGTTAGGCGGCTGACTCTTAATCTCCACTTAGTTCTTGATCTCAGGGTTGTGAGTTCAAGCCCCGAGTTGGGCTCTGCACTGGGTGCCAAGCCTACTTAAAAAACGAAAGTAAGTTGCCTTCGCCGTCTTGTTTGTTTGATTTTCCAAGGGATTTTGAGGCTAAAACGTGGCTCTGAGGATAGTTCCTCTATAACCACGTACTGTTGCTGACAAAGAAGGGCCACCTGCACAGTCTTTTGTGCTTTCGGGCACTTAAGTTATGCTTTGCACTATAGGTTGTTCGTACAGTCATTCAACAAATATTTATTGAACACCTGCTATGTGCCCGGCACCGTGTTCAGTCCTACAGATAGAGCAGCGAACAAAACAGGCGATGACTGGGCTCCCGTGGAGCTTAGGGTCTGGTAGGGGTGACAACCAACAAGTAAACACACTTTATTATATACTTTGCCAAGAGGTAAGGTAAGGTATGCGATAAAGAACGGTAGTGCCCAGAGGAGGCAAGTCTGCTTTGGTTTAGGAGACAGTCGAGGTGACACCTAAAAGAACAAGTCACAGGGCATCTGTGGGAAGATTATTCCAGACTGTGGAGACAGGCAGGGCACATCCCCCTGAGGAGGAAGCATGGGCGATTCATCCGAGGCTCTGAGTGGGTGGGTGGGTGGGGGAAGGGAAGGAGGAGCTGAGGAGAACCAAGCCAGGGGCCGGAGGAGGTCTCAGCCAGCACTCGGGCTTTTAGTTCAAGTCTGATGGTGAGCCATGGAGGGTTCCAAATAGAAGCTGGGGATGATCCCTTTCTTCAGGGAACCCTCAGGGAATAGCAAACAGGGCTCTGCCTGGCCCAGGAAGCTGCCCAGGGGCGAGAGGCAAGGAAACACTTTTTATAGAGTGGGCAGGCACCTGACCGAGGAAGTTCAAGGCTGTGGGAGAATCCGAAGGGCTGCATCAGCTGAGGTTGGTCATGGCCCTGGTGCCGTATCAGCTAAGTCCTGGAAGATGAGTAGGAATTCACCAGGTGAAGGTGAATGAAGGAGCAAAGAAAGAACAGGAAGGCGTTCAGAATGACGGGAGCGTGTCCTGCAAGGGAGGGGCACTGCGAGGGCAGAGGATGGGAGGAAGGCAGCAGCCGACCCCTGTGAACCAGGGATGGGAATTCGGTTTTGAGCACGGGGGCACCTGGAAGTGATGTTCTACGAAGCGTTTTTAGCAGAGGGGGGCTTGGGCTGATGTGCTGGAAGGATCGCTCTGGATGCTACTGTGAGGGATCGGAGAGGGCACCCCGGGAAGCAGGCTTTTGTCGTGACCGGTCTCCCCCATCAGCTCAGCCTCACTTTAAATTTTTTTGTTTACATTTATTTATTTTTGAGAAACAGAGTGAGACAAAGCGTGAGTGGGGGAGGGGGCAGAGAGAGAAGGAGACACAGAGTCCGAAACAGGTTCCGGGCTCTGAGCCGTCCGCACAGAGCCCGACGCGGGGTTCGAACCCACGAACCGTGAGATCATGACCTGAGCCGAAGTCGGATGCTCACCCGACGGAGCCACCCAGGCGCCTCTGAGCCTTGCTTTAAAGCTACAGCCCACCCGACTATGTTAGCACATTAGAAAACGCCATGCAAAGAAGAAACCCGCAGAAGGTGTTAAGGGGACGAGGACAGGAAAAAGTGAAGGGATGATTACAGAGGAGGAAAGGGAGTGTATATTTCGGAAACTGTCCACTGGAAATACCCAAATGAAGGAGTATCAAATGCATGTCTTTGCAAGTCAAAGAAGATGTGACCATGGTGGTTTAAGAATTATTGTCTAGCGTTATGAGAAGTCTCAAGGAAGGCAGTCCACGGCCGGCACACAACTGATGTCACTGGGGACCCTTTCTATCTTTTTGTTCATCCATCCTTTTTCTTTTTTAATGTTTTTTTAATTTATTTTTGAGGCAGAGAGAGACAGAGGGTGAGCAGGGGAGGGGCAGAGAGAGAGGGAGACACAGAATCGGAAGCAGGCTCCAGGCTCCGAGCTGTCAGCCCAGAGCCCGACGCGGGGCTCGAACCCACGAACCGTGAGATCATGACCTGAGACGAAGTCGGACGCTCAACCGCCGGAGCCCCCCAGGCGCCCCTTGTTCATCCATCCTTATTGGCCTGTTACAAAATGGCTACTGCCTCTCCTGGTCTCCCCTCTGCCTTCTAGGCAAAAAGAGGAAGGAAAGAGGGAAGAGTTAAGCCAAATGCACTTGCTCCTTTTATCAAGAAAGTGAAAGTATTTCCTTTAAGCCTCCTTGGCCACGCCTGTTGGCTTCTCAGGCTGCTACTGGAAGCCCAAGCCCGGGAAGTCAGGGAACGTGATTGACACCAGGGTCTTAGATCAATCCAGATTGTTTCCCGAGGACTGATATGTTGACACCCTAAATAAAATCGGGGTTCTCTTAGGAAAGAAATGGGGGAGAGTGAGCACGGGTAGGCCGTGAACAATGACTACTATGCATGGTATCCGGGACAAACTCTGACAAAAGCCAGACATTGAAGGACAGATTCATTCGTGTATGAAAATGGTTACGTTTTCACCGCGGCGTTTCTGACCAGGAGGTTCTGCAGGGGTTGGGTCATGGGGCGTGGAGACAGCTTCTGGAAAGTGGGAAAAGTATCGTCATGCCCCTTTCTCCCAGACTTTCTACCTTTCCTCTGTTCTTTGAAAAGCCCTCACTTTTACAAAAGACGGAATCATGCCTTCAGTAGCCAGCTACTTGGAGACCCCAGTATTGTTGCAGTTGTGTGACTGTTGGTTGTTTTTAAATACCAGGCATCTGCCTTGTGCTCTATGAGAAGAGATTTGGACTCCTTCAGAAGAATGCAGGAGATGAAGCTTTGAACTTCATCACGGCCATCAAAACAGTAAGCGTCACCTCGAGGAGCACAATTTTCCTGATTTGCAGAATTTCACAAACATGTCGTGTTTCCCCAGGAGTAGCACACACACGTTATTTTGTCACAGCAGTCAAGTGTTAATTTCAAGGTGTTATGTGTTTTCATGGATGGATGGGCATGGATGGTCATGAACCCGGAAGCATGCTACATCATGGTTTAGGCAAGGTTAAGTAGGTGTTTCAGTTGAAGGTCAGTTGGTGGGAGTCCTATTTCAAAAAGAGTCTGACGTTTTTCAGATGTAAAATTTTTGAATCCTTAGGTCACAGGGGGTTATAGAGATACTGTGAAGCTGGTATAGAAATGGCTGAAGTTTGGAAATCATTGGAAATTGAAGTCAATAAGAAAGTGATGGTTTTCCTTTTTCCTTCTTGTGTAAAATATTTAGGTCATAGAATCAATTTTTTTTAATGTTTATTTATTTTCGAGAGAGGGGCACATCCAATGGCAAATCGTCCCAAAGATTGTTTTCAATGTACTATGGGGCCCAGGGGAGGGTTCCACTCCCAGAGTTGGTGGGAGAGGCCTGGGGGGTGGGGGGGAGTGGGGTCTTTGAGTTCCTGCCTTTCTGGAAGCAGGGGGTGCGGGGTGTGGAGAACGCTCCTCTTCCGGTGAGGCGGTTGTCTTCGAGACCAGGGGAATCCAGAATGAAAAGGCGTTGCGTTCCCCACAGATGATGAGCATGTTTGGGAAGATGATGGTGACCCCGGTTGAGCTGCACAAGAGCCTCAATACCAAGGTCTGGCAGGCCCACACGCGGGCCTGGGACACCATCTTCCGATCAGGTAATGGGGCCACACACACCCGGCATCCCTGTCTCTGGAAGGTCTGGAATGATCCCGATGGAATTTGCTCCTCCTGATTCTTATGGGCTTTGCAGTCATGAGTTTAGAATCTTCCCGGTGTAGACAAATTCTAAGGAAAAGGCACATGGCAGCTTTCTGCAGTTTCTGGGAACTCGGAGCAGTTAAAAACAGGAGCTTTGGAGTCAGATAGGTGGATGCAAACCCAGGTCTGTCACTGGTGTAGTGGGTTGACCACATGTGCTCTCTCTCTTTCCTCCTCAGTAGTCTTGTCTCAAATGGGCTAATAGTAACAATGCCTACCTCACTGCAACTGTTTCTAGGTCTAGTGTAGATACAGTCAAGACCTGGCTTCTCATAATACCCCGTGGGTCCGAGCTGTTTCTGCTACATTATGAGGGGAGTATTGATGCCGAATATTGTTCAATGAGTATCTCTGTGCTTACCAATGTGTACCAGTAGGAGGTCCCGTATCCTATCATACCATGCTGTATATTTTGTACACACACATAAACATATCCTCATTGAATTGTCACCAAAACCCCTATAAGGTAAGTCCTCCTATTAGCCCTGAGTGACAGAACTGAGACATAAAGAACTAACTTTCTGGCCAGGGTGTGAAGCCAGAGAGAAGGGCTCCCACAGCCCAGACTCTAACTGCTGCACCGCTTACGGCCCTTGTTACTGTTGCCAACCTCACCATTATTATTATCCTGGCTTGGCTGGCACGGTAGACTGAAGGGAGAGAGACGCGTGCCTGGAATGTTCTTTACAAACGTTAGAAGTTTCTACTACTATCGTCAGCATGCACGGGCACTGCAGTGTGTGTGTGTGTGTGTGTGTGTGTGTGTGTGTGTGTGTGTGTTTGATTACACTGGGGATGGTTCTCTCCTCCTCTATGGCCCAGATTTGGGAGCTCAAGTCCCACTACCTGCACTCGTGACCAAAGTGGCTAGGCACGTGGATCTGGGTACGAGTTCTGATTCCGAGAGTGGACCCGAGTCCCACCTCTGTCTCATGATGGTCTCTTCCACACTCTAAGCTTTTAAACTCAAACTGTGACCTGTAGGCTAACAGTTGTAGCAGCACCTGGGAGCTTGTTAGAAATGCAGATTTCCAGGCCCGCCCCAGACCCCTGATCCCAAATCTGCATTGTAAGAAGATGCCCAGGTGATTCTTGGGCATCTTAAGGTTTGACCAGCCCTGCTCACGCGGTCATCGATCAATCCTTGGCGACTTAACGATGAGTCAACATTAGCTCATTGGACGCATTGTCAGTGTCCCTGCAAAGGCCCTGTAAGGTGTCATGGGGGGATTTCGGCTGGGGTTCCCTCACGCTCGATCCTAATCTTCACCTCACTTCCCTTCCCTCTTCTCTTCTCCAATAGTCAAATCTTGCATCGACAGCCGGTTGGAGCACTATTCTGAGCAGCCCGGCAAGGATTTCCTTTGTGATATTTATCTCCACAATCAGCTTTCCAGGAAAGAACTGTATGCGGCTGTCACAGAGCTCCAACTGGCTGCAGTAGAAACGGTAAGGGCTTGATTTTCCTTTGCTGAATGGTCCAGAAAATCTTCTCGTGATGCATTTTAAAGAGGCATTCAGCTCTCTCATTCCACAAGGATTAACTGAGCACTAGTCTAGCAAAAGGGTGCGCGAGACCCAGTGCACAGCCTTGGTCCTTAAACTTGTGACGGGAGGTGAATGCATGTGCTCTATAGCGGAGAAAATCCGTGCGCTCTGTGACAAATGCATACACTCTCTGGGAATTCAGAAGCAGTAAAATTCCACACCATAGAAAGATAGGTCATCTAGGTTTTTCTTTTTCTTATTCTTTGATAATCTAGATTTTTAAAAAAACTGAACGTATTCTTGAAGGTTGCGAATGTTACCCCAAAGTGCCTGATTGTGGTTGTTACTCTAAAAATATTGCAATGCTCTCTACCAGTCCAATATTTTTTCTTTTTATAAAGTTCATGTATTTATTTGGAGGGAGGGGGGCAGAAACAGTGGGACAGAAGATCCCAAGCGCCCTCCAGGCTATCAGCCCAGCATGAGGGTCGAACACATGAACCTGAGCTGAGATCATGTCCCGAGCCGAAATCAAGGGCGAGACACTTAACCGACTGAGCCACCCAGACACCCCTACTTTTTCTGATTTAAAGCTTAAAAAGAGTGAGTCAGGGGAAACTTGGTTTCACCTTGCATGAAACAGCTAATTTTAAATGCCCAAATTCTGTCCCCATGTGCTTGATAGCCGTGGGGGTACCAAATCCAGCCAGACTCCAAATGCACATACTGACAGATGTCCGGGTGGGTTTGATTGTCCTTGATCCATTTTTTTGAGCTCTCACTGGCGGGATGCATATTAATATTCCTCGTGATCCAACGTTTCATGCACCTGTAATCTCTAAGAAGAATGGGTCCTACTTCATTTCTTTTCCATATTTCCCGTTTCTTTAGTGTCTCTTGTCCACAGAAAACGTAGGGGTTTCTACCTCAGGAGGAACAGCAAAGTTGTAATTCCTCCTCATGCCCCAGAAGGCTTTGAAAGGGGGAAATTCATTTCAGCTCACTTTCATACTGAGTCACTTACCCTAAGAGGATCCTTGGAGGGGTAGAAGTAAAGCCTCACCCTTTATCTTTTGTGTTCAACTGGAATGTGAGCTCCAAGGGCAATGACTTGGTTTTGGACCTGCTGTATTCCCAGGATGTAGAACAGCACTTAGCATATAGTAGGTGCTCAACAAATACTTGGTGAATCAATGAAAGGCCACAGAAACCAAGTGCCCGCTCTGGGCCAGGCACTGTTCTAGGTGCTTGAAGGAACACCGTGAACCAGAGACAAAGGTCTTGGCCTTCATGGAACTTAACCACTAGCAGGGAAGACCAACCAGACACATGTAAACAAATAAATAAATATGATCATATCAAATAGTGGTAGGAGATATGGAGGAAACCATCAGAGTAAGGGGATAGAAGGGGAGGGCAGGGTACCCTCTCTGGGGAAGTGATACGGGAGCTAACGGACATGGTGACAGGGAGCCGGCCATGGGAGGATCTGGGGGAAGAGTCCTCCCGGTAGAGGAAATAGCATGTGCAAAGGGTCTGGAGCAGCAAAAACATTGGAGCTGGAGACCTGGCAAATGTGGTCAAGTTGACATTGCAGAAGTCCAGGGGCCGTGTTAGCCAGCAGCCTTAATAAACCATTCCGATTTTATGACACCTGTGATGGAAACGTCGCTGGGCATTATAAGCAGGGGAGTAGCCTGATGGAATTTATGTCTTGAAAAGAGGGCTCGGGTGGGGTGGAAGGTGCACTCCGCGTAGGAAGAGTGGAAGCAGGGAAATGAGCTACGTGATGCATCTCCTCCACGGAGGTCAGGCCGGGATACTTAGGGCCTGTGAGGTCTCCCAGGGCCCTCCTCCCTCAATTCAGCCCCTGCAGTTACCCAAAAAGGCCCCGGCTGTCTTACAAGGCTTTGGCGAAAGCTACAATCATTTGTCTTCTGGAAACTCTATTTGGTACTTGCGGTAAGGGACCCGCTGATATGGTTAAATGTTTCCTTTTTAGTCCTGGCAATTCTGGAAGTCACTTTTGGAAAATCGGAGAAATTTGAAAGTGTATCTAATTTGGTGGCTACGCCCTCTTCCTGTTTTGTAAATTGGACTCTTGTAATAATGCCCGCCAGGGTTTGTTTGCATCTGAGGCCACCGGTCTTCCCATGAAGAAGGTTTGCCTTGGAGGCATCTTCTTCCCAAAATAGTAAATACCATTGGCTCTGAATCGTCTCGCACTTTTCTCATTTATGTGAGTGGCACATGCAATTGGCAGAAGATCTTCGTGTCTGCAATGACCGTTTTTACAGGAATATTTGGCTTATGTTAAGTAAGAAAATAAAAATAAAATAAAGACCTAAAAACAAATACATATGACTACCAGTGGTGAATATCATGAAGCTGAAAGCTATGCTGGCTATTTCTGCCCATATTTTTTCTCTTCTTGTTGCCTTTGGAAAGGAAGTTAAAACACTCCACTTAAGGGACCATGAGCCTGTGTCAGAAACTGTGGCTGGTTCCTTGAAATACTCAACGTGATGCTAGAATTTCTTATTTTGCTATTGGCCCCCTCCTGCAAGGGTGCTGTGCATGTGGCTGAAACTCTGGGTTTCACAGATTCAATTCCAGAAATGCATTTTTTCGTGTGCGTTTGCACTGTAAAATTAAAAAAAAAAAAGACTCATTAGCAAAGCTGCTAGGATCCCCATCCCTCTCTCGCCACTGAAGTTTTCTCTCCATTTTCTATTTTAAAAATGTCTAATTAAACGTTTTCCTTATTTTGACATAATCATAGATTCACATACAGTTCTTTTTTTAAAGTAATATTTGTTTTATTTGGGGGGGGCAGAATGCAAGTGGGGGAGGGGCAGAGAGAGGGGGACAGAGGATTTGAGGTAGGCTGTGTGCTGACAGGCTCACAGCAGTGAGCCCTATGCGGGGCTCAAACTCATGAACCCGCGAGATCATGACCTGAGCTGAAGTCGGATGCTCAACCAACTGAGCCACCCAGGCACCCCTCACATGCAGTTCTAAGAAAAAATAGAGAGGAGTCCCTTGGACCCTTCACTGACTTTCCACCAGTGGTAACATCTTACAACAATAAAACCTTATCGCAACCCGGAAATTGATGTGGATACAGTCCTACCAGCCTGCTTTCCTTTCACCAGTTCTACAGGCGTTCATTTGTGTTCAAACAGTTTTTGAATCAAACAATATTTTAAGTGTCCCAATGCAGCTGATTATTTAAGGAGTCTACCTTGATTCCCCCAGCTATCCTTAATTGGCATAGTTTATAAAACAAATCTGAATTTTCACATCCTGTGTTGTTTACTGCACAGCGAATAGGGACACGTGAAAAGGCGTCATGAATGCATTTGCAAAGCAAGGTGCTAGGCATCAGCTTGTATTCAGCTCATAACGGTTTTAAGGCAATTTATTTGCAGAAACTCAAGTTTACAAGTTTATGTCCCTTTGGCTTTCAGACGGCAAACAGCTTAATGTGGATTCTCTACAATTTATCCCGTAATCCCCGGGTGCAACAAAAGCTTCTTAAAGAAATTCAGAGTGTATTGCCTGAGAATCAGATGCCACGGGCAGAGGATTTGAGGAATATGCCATATTTAAAAGCCTGCCTGAAAGAATCCATGAGGTGAGAATACATGGAGAAGCCAAGAAGAATATTCTAGGAAGCCGTTCTCTTAAATACACAGTCAGGGTCTCTGCACCCACAGACAGCACCCATAGTTGATTCAGAAACATTTGTCAAACTGCAAAAAAAAAAAAAGAGCCTTCAGATCATATGACCATATTCTTTTTCTATTACTCATTTCCTAAATCATTTGGGCAAATTCTACTAAAATTTGGGAAAGTCGGTGTCCTCTCCTTTAAATCAGTAATAATAATAATAATAATAATCATCATCATCATCTCATGAATGCTATAAGCACTAATTAAGATCAGGGCATAATTGAAGGATATGAAAAGAGGTTGAGCGAGGGAACCATATTATTATTTGATAAGACAAAGAGACATCTTTGTTTTTGAGCCTCTGGTATAAAATGTTCTGTGAAAATTATGGTTCCACCCTTTCTGGAAAACAAAACTCACAATGTGTCAGCATTAGAAACAAACAGCTTTCGCTTCAGGAAGGGCAGATGGGAGAACACTAGGACAAATCAAGCTGAAGCGTGACACGTAAAAAACACACATTTGAAGCCTAGAATGAAACAGAAAACCACTTTTGACAGCTACTAAGCAGTGACTGGGGAGTTAACCAACACGATAAAAACAAGGGGTTCAAACAGGAGGTATAAATATCAGGAAGAAAGAGACTGAACTTTACGAGAGTTGTGATCACGCTCGCTTTTTGAGTACGAACTTATGCAGGAATTATTGATTTAACCAGAATCTGCATTTTCTTTGACACTTGATCT